AAACAGTACTGCCTTTTAGGTGAGTCTATGAGCCTGTCAGAAATGAAAAATAACCATTGGAGGACAAATGGAAGAACTAAAGGGTCCAATGGGACACTGATGGTTTAAAGGTGGGTTCATTTTGAGGGACTGAATGTTGAATCATTTCTATCTTGATGGGGGTTTCTTCCAAGATAGTGGCACCTGATCTGTAGGGCTCTGGTGGTTAAATAAACAGTTTGGTGAGATTGGGAGGTGAATCATACCTTAAAGTTATTTAAGGGTATGATTTAAGGTATAATTGAGTTTAAAGCCGTAAAGCTTCACTTTAACGAATAATAAAAGATGAAAACTTTTGCCCTTTTGTGCATGCTCTATAAATAATGTGACGACTGATAAGATATTATTTTATAGAACATCACATCAAAATTAACCAAATTATCCTTTAAGGTTGAAAATGACAAATTTAATCTCCATTAAACCTCTCGAAAAAAGCCCACTTTCCTTTGAGTTCCATCAAAAATAAGGAGACAAAAGAAAAGGGTAACTTTGTGGGACAGTTTCCATTATTTTTATTTCTTACAGTTGTCCAGCAAAATGTTTGTCCTCTCAAAGACCAACATGTTGCAGGTGCAGTCGTTCCAACACGAGCAGCTCCTTGCTGTGGGAGAACATCTGGAACAAGTTACTTTTTGCAAAAATAAATTTGACTCAGTGGATAATAAACAAAATCTTTTCTTAATCACAGCTTCAGGTTTACAAATAAAAAAAAATTAAAAAAAGAGAAAAATAATCCAGACTTTCTTTAAAAATATTGATATTTTAAAAAGGGTCAAAAGCTTGTTTCAGTTTTCCAAAAACTTCTCCTCTTCAGGGGTCTCCACAGCGAGTCATCCTCCTCCACCTCACTCTGTCCTCTGCATCCTCTGTCCTCACTCCAACTACCTCCATGTCCTCTCTAACTGCATCCATATGTCTCCTCTTTGTCTTTTTCCTGGCAGCTGCATTTCTAACATCCTTCTACCAGTATACCCACTGTCCCTCCTCTGGGCATGTTCAACCATCTGTCTGGTCTCTCTAACTTTATCTCCCAGTTGTTCAACCTGTGCTGTACCTCCGATGATCTCATTTCTAATCTTTTCTCCTAAGGAGAACCTTGACATCTTCATTTCTGCTACTTCCAGTTCTTTTTCCTGTTTTTTTTGTCCATGTCTCTGTCTCCAGATCATACAACATAGCTGGTCTCACCACTGTCCTGGAAACTTTTTCTTTGCCCTTTGCTGACACTCTTTTGTCACAAATCACTCCTGAAACTTTTCTCCATCCACTCCATCCTGCCTGGACTCTCTTTTTCACCTCTTTACCACACTCCTCATTTTCCTGGACAGTGGACCCCAAGTACTTGAAGTCCTGCACCTTTGTGACCTCTGCTCCTTGTAGCCTCACTGTTCCACTGGCCATCTTCTCATTCACACACATGTACTCTGTCTTACTACAGCTAACTTTCATTCCTCTTCTTTCAAGTGCATATCTCCACCTCTCCAAGTTCTCTTCCACCTGTTTGCTGTTCTCACCACAGATCACAATGTCATCTGCAAACATCATAGTCCACGGGGAGTCCTGCCTGACCTCATCTGTTAGTCAGTCCATCACCAGAGCAAACAAGAAGGGGCTCAGAGCTGATCCTTGATGAACTCCCACCTCCACCTTGAAGTTATCGGTCACTCTTACAGCACATCTCACCACTGTCCTGCTGTCCTCACACATGTCCTGTACCAGTCTAACATACTTTTCTGTCACTCCAGATTTCCTCATGCATACCACACCTCCTCCCTCGGCACTCTGTCATATGCTTTTTCTAAGTCCACAAAAACACAATGGAGTTCTTTCTGCCCTTCTCTGTACTTCTCCATCAGCATCCTCAAATCAAAGATGGCATCTGTGGTGCTCTTTATTGGCATGAAACCATACTGCTGCTCACAGATAGTCACCTCTCGTCTAAGTCTTGCTTCAACAACTCTCTCCCAGATCTTCAATGTGTGGCTCATCAACTTAATTCCCCTGTAGTTGCTACAACTCTGTACATCACCCTTGTTCTTAAAAAAGGGCACCAGCACACTTCTTCTTCATTCCTCAGGCATTTTCTCACCCTCAAGCCATTGAATATTTGAGTCAAAAACCTTAATGCCATCTCTCCAAGACATTTCCAAACCTCCACTGGTATGTCATCAGGTCCTACTGCCTTCTCCTTCTTCATTTTTTCAGAGATTTCCAAACTTCACCCTCACTAATCTTTCCCACTTCCTGGTCCACAGTTTCAGTGAATTCTACTCTTCTTTCTCTTTCATTCTCTTCATTCATTTGTGTTAAACATTTTGGTCAAACCTTGAAAATATCATATTGTGCTGTATCATGCAACATCACAAGATGTCACGCTTAGAGCACATGTTGTAAATGAGGCCAATATCTGTAAAACTGACTCCTTTATAGCCATTTCTGATGTTCTTTTAAGGATTATGAGATATTTTGTTAATATACAAACACGTGAACACACACTTTAGGTAACAGGCAAAGTCTAATCCAGTACCGGATCTACCAGATGTTCCGGTAAGATGGCGCCCATGTACATGGCTTGCAATCCACCTCTGCTGGTGGTGTTCGGATTATTTTAGTTTTGTTCATTTTTTATCTTTGACATAAACTCACTGCTGATGTATGACCGACAACAGCTTCTGGATCTTCGTTTTTCTGTCACCGATGTCGCTTATTTGGAACATTATGAGCGTACCTCTTTTTGGAAAAAATTGCAACCACCCAGGCTCTCATTTCCCCTCCAACTCATGACCCATCCATCCCACCTCAATCTGTAGCTCCATTTGACCATTTTGAACCCATCACTCTATCTTCTCTAGAGCAGGTCATGTGCAGCTTGAAACCTTCTGGCTCCCCCTTTGATGTGGTCCCCCCTCGACTACTAAAGGAGGCTTTTTCCAACTCTAGGTCCGTCCATTCTTGCCATAGTAAACAGTAGTTTATCCACTGGCGTGGTGCCAAAATCCTTTAAACATGCTGCCGTCCAGCCTCTCCTGAAAAAAACAAACCTTGACCCCTCAGTCGTATCCAACTTCCGGCCTGTCTCCAAACTCCCATTTGTTTCTAAACTACTGGAGAAAATAGTCGAGTCCCAGTTGAAGTGCTTCCTGGAGGGTCACACCATCTTAGAGCTTTTCCAATCTGGCTTTAAACCTCTCCACAGCACTGAAACTGCCCTGCTGAAGGTCTTTAACGACATCTTCAGATTCACAGATACCAGTGATTCTGTGCTGCTTGTCCTATTGGACCTCACGGCCGCCTTTGACACCATCGACCATGAGATCCTCATTGCTAGGTTGGAGCAGTGGGTGGGCGTCACAGGATCAGCCCTTAATTGGTTCAGATCTTACCTCACTGACAGATCCTTTTGTGTCTCCATCAAGGATTTTAGTTCTGCAGCAGCAGAGCTTAAATGGGGGGTCCCACAGGGGTCCATCCTGGGTCTCCTCCAATTCTCTTTATACCTGCTGCCGCTTGGTGCTATTTTCCGGAAACACAACATGCCCTTCCACTTCTATGCCGATGACTGTCAAATTTACTTCCCCCTAAGACACAATGGTGCATCCTCTATTAAACCGCTGCTCAACTGCCTGGCTGACATCAGGGACTGGATGGCTTTAAACTTCTTAAGTTTCAATGAAAAGAAGTCTGAAGTCATGTTGTTCCCTCCCAACGACACAATCACAAACCACTGCATCGACCTTTCCGCTCTAACCCTGTCAGAAAAACAAAGAGTCACTAATCTGGGAGTGATAATGGACCCTTCCCTGAAACTTAACAATCATGTAAACATGATTGTTAAATCATGTTTCTTCCAACTGAGGCGGCTGTCTAAACTGAAGCCCATATTGTCCAAAAATAACCTGGAGACAGTAATACATGCATTCATTACATCTAGGCTTGATTACTGCAATTCACTCCTGTTTGGTATCAGTCAGACCTCCATTGCATGACTACAACTGGTCCAGAATGCAGCAGCCCGATTTTTAACCAGTACAGGCAAAAGAGAGCACATTACACCAGTTTTGGCCTCACTGCACTGGTTACTGGTTTACCTTCGAATTCAGTTCAAAATACTCATGTACTGTATGTCTACTAATAACTGAACAGTTTCGCCCCCCACCCCCATCTCTCTGATCTGCTACAGCCGTATGTCCCACCACGCTCCCTGAGGTCAGCGGACCAGTTGCTCCTCACAGTTCCAGGAACTCGTCTTAAGCACAGAGATGACAGGGCCTTCTCTGTAGCAGGACCAAGACTCTGGAACGAGTTACCTCTGCTTGTCAGACTGGCCCCCTCCCTCTCGGTTTTCAAGTCCCCTTTAAAAACTCACTACTATTCAGTAGCTTTCAACACCAGATGATCTGTGTTTTGATCCTGTACGCTCCACACTGGTTTGTCATCATTATCTGCATCGTTTTTATGTCTATATTCTGATTTACCTCATTTTGTATTTTGCTTTGTGTGTTACCTGTTGTTCTGTCTGTACAGCACTTTGGTTGGCCTTGTTGCTGTTTTAAGTGCTCTATAAATAAAATGGTATGTTATGGTAATCCTGATTTCTTTACAAAATCAACAACATTTTCAATGATTAGTGTACTTTCATTGTGTGTATTAATAAAATTACAGCCATTAATTTAGCTGGTTATGTGTCATTTTAGCAGTTTTAAAGCTTTTTTTTAATTATTCATTTATTGTGTTTTTTGTGTGTGCGTGCGTGCATGTGTGTGTGTGTGTGCGCGTGTGTGTGGAAAGGTTATGAACTCAACCATGCATGTAGTTCTGAGAAATAAAGTTTAATTCTAACCAAACTATGTGAAATGCTATAAAAAAAAAAAATCATTACTTGAAATTCAAGCTGAAAGAAAGTCTCCATTTGGAGTGTATTATCTATCATTTAAAATTTGTCCTGCTGTGGGAGCACTGCTTCACAACCTGGTCTCCATTTTTTTTCCCTCTGAGAAGGATCTCCCACAGACAGTGATGGCTCTAAACTCCTTGGAGATCTCCAGCAGGGTCTTGCCCTTAGTTTCAGGCAGAATGAAGAAGGTATAAAGGCTGCCCAGCAGGCACACACCGCTGAACAGCAGGAAGCAGTAAGCATCCAGAGCATTCTGAGGGAAGAAGTTAGATTAGAAAGTGTAAACGCTGACTGCCTGTCACTCGTTTGTTGAGCACATAAAACATGTAGCTTATTTACAGGCTGATTTTACGCACAATGAGGAATGGAAAGATCAGTCCCAGCACTGCGAACGTGATCCAAAGCTGCAGCCCCATGAGGACAAACGCTGCCAGACGATCAGACTGGACGAAGAGCTCGCTGCTGAGCGTAGCCGTAACCGCTCCTGAAAGACCAAGAAGGGACTCGAAATATACGTTGTCTGATCATTTTACTGTGTCGTGTACTGTTTTTAACAACAAAAAGTATATGTAAAGTACATACCAGGCCCCCCACGAAACACGATGATGAAGAAGATGATCAACATGGCAGTAATATATGAAACCCAGGAGCCTAAATCCTGCATGAAAGACAATTTACAGTTCAAGTTAGCTGGTTGTATTTTGACTGATTAAACAGTAAAGGTCCAATCTCAGTCCCCAAACTGTTGAGATGTTAAGTAAAATATAAATAAAAACAGAATGCAATGGTTTCCTAATCTCATAAATCCATATTTCATTTGCAATGAATCACTGTAAATGCATCAAATATCAAAGCTAAGGAACTGTCTGATGGAGGATTCTAGCTGTTCAGCAGTCCTGGGTCTCTGCTGATTCTGATTCATGACGCTCCAAAGGTTTTAATTGGGGAGTGGTCAGAACTGAAGTCAGCTCAGTTCAGCACCCACACTCTTCTGTTATGACACCATCAGTTGTAATGGATGCAGTGTGAGGTTTAAGTTCAAGTTCAAGGTTCTTTGTTGTCATTCACAACACATGTTGTTACATGAGGTGGAATGGAAGTGTGCTCAAGGTCCCAGGTCCCAAGGTTTAACATTGTCTTGCTGAAATCTGCAATACCTTCCCTGAAAAAGACCGTCTGGATGCAGAAGACCTTGTTCTAAAATCTTTATCTACTTTTCTGCATTGATGGTGCTTTTCTAAATGTGTAAGTTACCCACACCAGAGGCACCAATGTACCCCCATGCCATCAGCGAGGCGGGAGTTTGAACTGTGGGCTGATGACAGGCTGGATGGTTTCACTTCTCCAGTGGAGAGTGTTGAATTTGTGGTTTTTAAAACACATTTTATATTTCAGTTTGTCTGAGCACAGACTCAGATTTGTCTCAGTCCATTATAAATGAGCTTTGGCTCAGAGAAGACAGTAGTTCTGGGTGGAGTTCACGTACGGCTCCTAGCGATTCGTGTTTACAGACAAGGATTAGTGGAAGTGTTCCAGAGTCCCTGCAGGGATGTAAAAACAGAATCAGATCTATTTTAATGCAGTGGCCCCTGAGGGCCCGAAGATCATGAGCATCAGATATTCCCTTTCAGTCTTGACCTTTGAGCTCGGAGATTTCTCCAGATTGTGAAAACGTTTGGTTGACATCATGAACTGTAGATAGGACATTCACAGTCTTTCCAATTTTAAACTGAAGAGCATTACTTTAAATTTGTTCCAACATTTTTAGATGCTTTTCACAGACTGCTGTGACTCTTGATTCAGACATTTTAAAACGACATCATAGGACCCAGTCATCTTAGCTGTCATCAGTTAACTTAGTTGAAAAATGCTTCAATGGGGTTTCTTATTGGTCCCACTTACAGTTCCAACTTTTTTTATGTGTTGCTGCTATAAAATCCATCCATTCATTATCTTTACCCGCTTCTTGCTTTTCTGGTCGCTGGAGTCACTGGTGCCCATGTCCAGCTATCGTTGTGCGAGAGGTGGGGGACACCCTGGACAGGTCTTCAGTCCATCACAGAGACACATAGAGACAAACAACCATTCACTCTGTCACTCACCTAGAGACAATTTAGAGTTACCAATTAGCCTAACATGCATGTTTTTGGTCTGTGGGAGGAAACTGGAGTACCCGGAGAAAACCCACGCATGCACGGAGAGAACATGCAAACTCCACACAGAAAGACCCCCAGTTGGGATTTGAACCGGGGACCTGCTCGCTGAGAGGCAGCAGCTCTACCAACTGATCCACCGTGCTGCCTCTATAAAATTCAAAATGATCTTATTTCTTTCCAAAACTGTTCAATGCCTTTGTTTAAACATTTGATACGTTTATGTTCGATTAACAATAAACTACTGGATTATGACAATTGAAATTTAATGCATTCTATTTTTTTTATTTTATTTATTTATTTCACACAATGTACCAACTTCTTCAGATACGTGGTTGTACAATTAACGGATGTTTCATGAGTTTATTGAAAAAACGTGTACTTTTTAGACCAACAAAATATATGTGCTGTACTTTAATAATATGTTTCATATTGTGTATTTATATATTCCATGTATAAGAATAGAATCAGTGTCAAAAAACCACAACCATAATGCAGCTGTCCAAAAATGTGACATAAAAAAAAACCACCTCCCTCATAAAAAATCTTTACTTTTGAGTCAGAGCTGAACAATTACCAACACTTTGCAAACTGTACGTTTGTTTGTAAAGTGAGCGCTCTTTCTGTGTGAATTTTTCTTTATTTTTTAAAGATAAACGATATCTTTAAAAGATTTATCTTTGTTTTCCTGTCTACCTTCAGGTTGAGAGTGATGGTGACCAACAGCCAGGATGCAGACATGACACCGTAGCCTCCCCAGAACAGCGGCCGCCTCCCTGTGCGCTCAACCACAAGACCCTAACAGAAAGGAAAGAGTAGAAAATATTTGTGAACTAAAAAAATGATTACGAGCATTAGCTATAATTTAAAACATGTAGTCATGCTGAAATACAACACTCTGGCTTGCTTTTGTAAACTTTAGTTGTGTTTTGTTTTCTGATGGTGCCGCACAACTGCCATGTGTAAAATGCTAATGAGAATGTACGAGCCATGACATGAAGGAGCAGACTGAAGGATTTACTCACACAGGAGATGGAGGTGAGGATTTCAGCAACTCCAAGACCAAGAGAGACGTAACGGATCTTGTCTTGTGGGATGCCCGTCTTCAGGAAGATGTCGAAAGAGAAGGTGCCAATCTGAGGAGGAGGAAGGTACAAGATGATCATTTTAAGATTCACCTAAAAAAAAAAATCCATTTTTTACGCCAGTTTATCCTGTAACGATGCTAATTGATCATTAATCCTCTGCACCCGTCACTTTTTGATGTTCAGTAAATTCCTCTGCTCCACACCACCAAGTAAACATGTGGTGCACCAACTGCACCAGCTCATAAGCACCGACATCAAAACGTCCTTCACCAGTTCTCATTTATCAACGAGTTAAACTGAGCGTTGTGAAGAGGGAGAAGTGTAGAAGTTTCACCTGAACAGAAGCATAAACTCAACTTTACACAGATCGTTGTTTTTGTCCCTCGTCGCAGAAAAAAAAGGGGGAATTGGAAATGAGCTGTCAAGTCAAAATACAAGTTGACTGCTGCCATAAGTGTCTGTCCATTTTGTGATCATGTCTGGAAAAAAAAAACAAGTGGTACCGACATCCATTTTGGTGTGTGACTACATTTAGGCCTAAGAAATTGGGTTGCCACACCAAAATCTAAAATGGCTGCCACCATATATGTATATACATAAATCTTGTGAGCTGGATAAGTTGAAAAATATGGAACATGCTGTTTTCCATATTAGTGTGTGGCTGTATCTAGGTGTTCAAAAAGTCCCTACCAAAAAATGGGTTGTCAATTTAAATCCAAGATGGCCACCGCCAGAAATAAATATATGTAAACCAATTAGCCCAACTATTTAAGAAAACTATGCTTTCTAGTTTTTATATTGCTTAAAAGTATGGCTTCCTCAAATGATCGAGGTGGCCCTTGGTGTGTCCAAAGAATAATCTATGGTGGCCAAGGCCACCATTGGCCACCCCCTGGCTCCATCAGTGCTCCTAGTCGTGGATAAAACTGCTCCCTCCTCTCACCAGGATCGGTCATACCGTAATGTGCTGCCTGGGACAAGCAAAAAAAAAAAAAACCTATTCCTCTTCACGCTAAAGAAAAGTTTGGTCATGGTAACACTGTTGTGTGAAATGTTATTTCACCATACAATACAAGACGATACGCCCACATTACAATATAATACGATATGATAAAACAAAACGTGATACAATCCAGAACGATAGTATTTAAACACAGAAAGTATTTCAGACCGTCTAGACGTCTGAGCTTAGGTCCGACCTTACCGTGTTCATGCCTGACAGCTGGTTGCACATGCAGACGGTGTAGACGGTGATGAGCTGCCAGCGGACGGTCCTGTCCCTCAGCAGCTGCAGGGGGCTCTTTGGTGGAGCCGCTTCAAGAACTTGCTGCTCGCTCAACATCTCGTCCATTTCCTGTTTGTACTCACCTCTGCCCCACAGGCTCTGGAGGGCTGGAGGGAGGGGGGGAAACATTAAATACACAAAACAAAAGCAGTTGCTGCTATGAACTGGATGGATGCTCAGGTCAGGTTTGTCTAGTAAACGAGGCTCAGTGGGATTAGCTTGTATAAATAAGGGTTGAATGAACACTAACCCTTCTTGCATGCCTTATCATCTCCTTTCTCTATGAATAAATATCTTGGAGCATCAGGAAAAAAAGGGAGCGCGACGATCTGAACCGCTGAGAAGAACGCAGGAACACAGAGGACGACGTGCCACAGGTCCTGGCGACCCAGTATCTCACTGGAAAACAAGATCTTGAGGTTCATTGTTCAGTAGTCTCGCTGTGGTACATTGATCTTTACACACTCCAACAATCTGCTGTTTGACAGACTGATGCTCACCTCAATCCAAAAATCTGACCAGAGAGTTTCCCAAACGAAACAAAAGTGGCAAAAGTCATAGTCACTGGTCCTCTAATCTTTCTGGGTGACATCTCCACCAGATACATCAAGTGGATGTTCTGCCCCATACCTGCAGCAGAAGAGACAAGATATCTTCTCTTTATCCACAGTTATAAAAAAAAAAGTCTTTGCACAGCCCGTGCAGGACATGGCAGCTTACCTGAGGAGTAACCAAACAGGATCCTTGCAACAATGATCATTTCAAACGATTTGGCTTGTTTGCTTGTAAGCATGATCCCTGCACCGACGATGGAGATGAAGCTGTTGCAGATCATCGCTCTTTTTCTGGAGAAAGAACAAACGCTTCAAGTTATTTCTAAACTTCATGACGGCTACCAAATGTGCTGGAGTTGTCTGTGTCAGGTCGACACCGACGCCTAACGCTCACCTGCCAAGCCTCCGGGCGAAGAAGTTAACGCTGACGACACCAAGGAACGCACCGACAGCGTACATGGAGACAATGAGGGACCATATCATGGTGACGGTTTGTGGAGATGGAGGCTTGTCGTATCTGTCACACCAGCTACTGTTGATGAAGTGTTGAATGTACTGCACAGATGGGTTCAAGCAACAGTTTTATGTCCCATCACAAAGAAAACATAATGAGGAGAACGTGGCTGACGATTTGTCTCACTGGTGAAGGAGAGCTCAGTCCTGTGATATGGTAACCAGGATGAAAGCTTCCTCCGATTCCCAAAACCACGACGAGGAGCAGAGCGTTGCCTCGAGTCTGAGGTGCAGACCGAACAGAAACAGAAAGAATTAAAATCAAATTTAAATAGCATCAATGTTGCAAGGATGTATGGGGTGCCGTTTGTAAAGTTACACAGTCAAAAATGATCAGCAGTGTTTTGGTTTATTTAGCCTTTCATAAGAAAAAAAATATATTTTTTCAAAGTCAGATTTCCACCATGTTATTCATACAATTATAAATATAGTTCCAAACTAAATATTTAATTTACTATCTAAATACTTAACTTGCAAGTTAAATATTTAGTTAGCAAGGTAAAAAGTTAGCTCCATGCTAAATATTTAATTTACAAACTAAATGTTTATGTCCGCGCTAAAGGTTTAATTTACAAACTAAATATTTAACTTGCAAGTTAAATATTTAGTTGAACTAACTATTTAGGTGTACATTTTTAATTACCAAGCTAAATATTTATTTTCAAAACTAAACATTTAATTTCTAAGCTAAACATTTAATTCTTAAACTACGTATTTAATTTGTTCACTAAATGTTTAGCTTGGACCTAACCATTTAACTTGCAAGTTAAATATTTAGGTCCAAGCTAAATATTTAGTTAGCTAATTAAATATATTTTGGAAATTAAATGAAAATAAAAATCGAGGTCAGAGGTAAATATTAAATATTTAGTTTGGAAATTAAATGTTTAGTTTTGAAAATAAATATTTAGCTTTGAAATTGAATAATTAATTTCCACCTAAATATTTAGTTAACTTGCAAGTTAAATATTTAGTTTGTAAATTAAACATTTAGCTTTGACTTAAACATTTAGTTTGTAAACTAAATATTTAGTTGTAAATTAAATATTTAGTTTAGAACTATGACATTTATAAATGTATGAATAACATAGTGAAAATATGACTTTGAAAAAAAACATGTTTTTTCTTCTGAAAGACTAAATAAACCAAAATATTGCTGTTAATTTTTAGCTCCAGGGTCTTCTCCTGGTGCGAGGTGCCCAGAAAACCCCCAGAGGGAGGTGCTCAGGGGACATCCTAACCAGATGCCTGAACCAACTCACCTGATCCTTTCAACGTGGGGAGCAGTGTCTCTATTTCAAGCTCTCTCCTGATGAAGGAGCTTCTCCCTGAAGTATATCTGAGGCTGAGCTCTACAGAGGAGGTGGTTCATGGCAGCTGCTTGTATCCAAGATCTTGTTTTTTATGGTTATGGTCCATACCTCATGGCTGGACGGTTGGATCTTAGATGGACTACCATATTTTTCGGACTATAAGGCGCACTTCAAATCCTTTAATTTTCTCAAAAATTGAAAGTGAGCCTTATAATCAGATGCACCTTATGTATTAACTTTGGTTGTGCTTACTGACCTCGAACCGATTTTATGTGGTTATTGTGAACGAGTTTAATAAAGTTTGACTCATCAGACTGTTTTGTTTTGCTTAATGCGCCTTATAATCCAGTGCAACACATGTATGAATAATGAATGTATGTCAATAATCAATGTATGGTAACAAATAGAGAGTGTTGTCGTTCAAGCCAGATCCTTCTTCACCATGACTGACTGGCATAACAGCCTTACCTCCAGGGACTAGGATTTGATCTGTTAGTTCATCCCACCAACACTTGTAAACAAGACACTCAGATACTTAAATCCTTCCACAAACTGGACTGGAGATAAGGGGGACAGCATCCCCTTCTGGTTGTTTCATATGTGATACTCACTGACACAGGATATTTGGGTAGATGAGACCATTTTTCCTGCTCATTCACAGCCCAGTTCTAAATAAAATGTATAATCCAATAATTCTCAGTCAGGTCATGTGGACAATTTCTTTTTTATATAGAGACGTTTCGCTCATCCGGAGGGCTTCACCAGTTTGAGGAGTTCCAGTAAACTGTTTCCCCACCAAGCAGTAAACTTCTTCAGTGGACCAACCAGTTTGCTGGAGCTAAGATGGTTTCTGGGGGCCGTCCTGTCCCCCGTCGACTCCTCCAAGGCAGGCAGCCACAGCCAAAGTGGTTCAAGGCAACAAAGTTCATGCTCAATCATCCAGGTACCAAATCTGATAGTTTGTCCAACTGTCTAGATGACCTGACTGAGAATTATTGGATTTGATACCTGGATGATTGAGCATGAACTTTGTTGGTCTGTATATTGTTTGTACACACAACTGTTTGTGGACTTTCCAAGTTGTAAATGAGTTGCAAAAGAAATGTTGCAGTTACGAAGAAACTACAGGCCCCGATTAAAGAAAACTGCATTTTCAACAGATATAAACAGCATCAATCTGTTGTTATACACAATATGAGTAACAAATACTAGTTCAGATGGATTAAGATCAATTTATTCAAAACACTCATTAAATTTATTTAAAGGAATGTAAAATTAAAATCATTTTCTTTGATTTATGAGCTCTAAATGTTTTGAATGAGAGTTTGGAAACTAACCAGCAAAGTGCAGTGACTCAGCTAAAACTGCAGTTTGAATAACTTACTGTAAAACAGCAATGGCTAGCTCAAATAACCAGCCTTCATGAAAACGTGTTAAGTTTCTTTGTTATTAAATATATTATGCATCTTAATATAGAATCTACATCCATAGTTTTATAAGATAACGAAAAAAGTTGTTACAGATCAAATTATACCACTGGGGTTAAAACTCACATTTTAAAACAAGTTTCTCATATTGATCATCATTTCAACATTTACACGTAAGCAAACGAAACCGTACTGATATGTAAGATTTAGACATTAGTAAAAACCTACCAGGTGCTGGAACAAAGTTTCCATTTTCTCTCTCTCTTTCTTTTTTGTATTTACTGGTTTGAACCTTGTGGTGCATGTCTACATGTCCTCTGTTAGAAGTCTGGTTATCATTAACTTTTTGGAGTGAAAAAACAAAAAAAAATCTGTTAGTCCAGTTCCTGCAACCTGCTGTAGAGTCTGATGTTACTGTGCAAACCTTCACTCACACAGTTACAGCCGATGCTGCAGTGAAATCAGACGTTTATTTAAATGTGTAAATTCCCAATCACGTCATATTTGAATATTACAAAATGTCAGCCATCAGGATGTGAAATGAATACAAATAAAACCAGAGCTGTCTTATTTAAAACAATGGCCCATTATGTATATAACACTGCAAATGTCACCATATATAATATAATGCACAACTGTGTAAAATGTGTTTTATGCTGCTTCACTATAATGTTCAAAATGATATTGATGATCAGCCAACAATCAAAACAAGCTGTAAGCATGAAACAATGGGAAGTAGTTTTGTGCATTTAAGATCTCATTTTACCCAAGCAACGTTAAAAATAAAAACTGCACAGAAAAAATAATTATAACTCTGTTGAACATAAAACAATGTAAAAATATGAATGTTTTGGAATTTGGGAACTGGTCAAAAGTTTGGACCTGTTTGTTCATTTTTAATTATTGTGGATCTGTTATTTTTTTTAATTGTTGTTTTTTTGTTTTGTAATCTAAAATTTAACACGTAAAGCATGTCTGAAAATTATGTATTCATAAATAATAAACATAATACAAAAAGGCGAACACGAGTTGAACATCTCTTTTGTTTGTAAATTATGCTTTTGTAACATTTTAGACAAGCAGATTTATGAGTTGTTGTTTTTTTTTTTTTTTTTTGCACTAATTTATTTTTTATCTATATCGTAAAATGTTTACCCAAAGAATGTTTTGTTTGCAGTAGCTAACGTTATAAACGTCCTGAATAATAAATGTTAGGTTTGGAAGGTGCTGTTCCAGGCAGTGTCCAGCAGGGGGCGGTGTGTCAGAATGCTGTGTCTACTTCTCAGGGGGTGCTCCGCTCTTTTCTCCCTCCGCTGACAGGCGCTCCGGCGGAAACGAATCACTTCAGTGTTTTCCGTAGTCATCGTTGTCTAGCTGCTGCTAGCAAATAGTACACTTGGTCCAGTCCACACAAAGCAAGTCTTGGGTTTGCTTAGTTTGTCTTGCGTTCAAAAATGCCACTGGAGAATCTAGAGGAAGAGGGTTTGCCCAAGAACCCTGATCTGAGGATAGCTCAGCTGAAGTTTCTGCTCACGGACGGTCACCGACAGGATGCTAAAGTGAAGACTGAGCTCATGGACGCTATCAAAGCTAACAGTGAGTTAGCCTATTTTCATCACACTTCTCTTTACTCACTCAAATCCATCGTTGTGTGTGTGGGTGTGTTCAGTAGACTGTGGATGACTTGACGCAACATAAATGCAAAGTTTAAAGCTCATATTTATGAACCGCTTTGCAGAACATTAGCAGACTAGCTAACGCTATTACCGTTAACCAGCTTTTAAACAAACTCGAGCTGCTTTCGTTGAGTCTTATGTTGAAGATCAGTAATATCACATGTTGCAAATGTAGTTCACATTTTAAACTAAGTTTATATTTTGTGGAGAAGTAATTGTTCCTTTTGGTGAAATAGATGAAAATAACGTAATGCACAATTTTATCGCGAGATCTTGCGCTAAAAATATATTTTAGGAATTCCAGCTGCTGCTTAATAACTTAAAGCGCCATGTCTGCGTAATTTACTGAACTGTAGCAATTTTTGTTTTTTTTAAGTTAACTTAGCTGTGTCGGCCATTTTGAACTGTGCTGACTCCAAAACCTCCCAAAGTCGCAGATGAACATCTAATGATTACTCTTTGAAAGTTTTGGTAACAGCTGTTGAGATACATTACTAATATTCAAACACAGGCACGGATACCTAACACTCCTCTGGGAGAGTAAAGATAGTTTTCTGGGTTTGTTTCAACAATAATAAGTTTGTTTTTCTTCAGACATGGCTCCATATTATGAGGGTCTGTGTAAAGAGCTGAAGTGGCAGCTGGACACCGAGCTGCTGAGTAAAATGAAGAAGGCCAACGAAGAGGAGCTGAAGCGCCTGGATGATGTGCTGGAGGACGCTGAGAAGAATCTGGGAGAGAGTGAGATACGAGACGCGATGATGGCTAAAGCTGAATATTTAATCCGGATTGGGGATAAGGTGGGGCATCAGAAATAAAACGTCTACCTTTAAACCATTTTTTAGAGTGAGCAGGTTCAATTTTCATTTGAGTGATTTGTAGATAAATATGGACGGATTAACTTACCTTGAGATTATTTTGTCTTTGTTCTGCGTAGGAAGGTGCACTAACAGCCTTCAGAAAAACTTATGACAAAACAGTGGCTCTGGGTCACAGGTTAGACATCGTCTTCTACCTGCTGAGGATCGGCCTCTTCTACATGGACAGTGACCTCATCACACGCAACTCTGAAAAAGCCAAGAGGTATTTTCCTCTACGTCTTTGCTCTGAAAGCGAAGTGTCTGTAAACGTTTTTTGTATTAAACTTCTCTTTCGTTGCCTCCACAGTCTCATTGAAGAGGGGGGTGACTGGGACAGGAGGAACCGTCTGAAGGTTTACCAGGGTCTTTACTGCGTGGCCATCAGGGACTTCAAGCAGGCTGCCGAGCTCTTCCTCGACACGGTTTCTACATTCACCTCCTATGAACTCATGGACTACAAAACCTTTGTCACTTACACCGTCTATGTCTGCATGATCGCCCTGAAAAGACCTGACCTCCGTGAAAAGGTAAGAGAAGAACATGCGAGATGCGGACTCTTTTTAGAAAGACAGTACATGCTGAAGATATTTTTTCTGCAGGTGATAAAGGGAGCAGAGATCTTGGAGGTGCTTCACAGCCTGCCTGCTGTCCGCCAGTATCTTTTCTCACTGTACGAGTGCCGTTACTCCGTCTTCTTCCAGTCGCTGGGTGAGTCTCATTGTCCCGGGACTAAAATATCTACTTGGATGAGATTCAACTTTTGAGCATTTGTGTGTTTCACTGTATGTTGGTGTTCCGTGTCATTTTAATATGAACTTTTGCGTTGCAGCCATGGTGGAGCAGGAGATGAAGAAAGACTGGCTGTTTGCCCCACACTACCGTTACTATGTGAGGGAGATGAGAATCCAGGCGTACAGCCAGCTGCTGGAGTCGTACCGCTCGCTCACACTGGGATACATGGCTGAGGCCTTCGGTGTCAGCACAGAGTTCATCGACCAGTGAGTTGATACGTTTGTATCACATGTAACCCCAGTTTAAGCTTTAAAATTATTCAGTACCAATAGGTAGGAGGGCAGAAATCAAACTTTTAAATTGTATAATTCTACGATAAATAGATTGTAGTATTTTTATCTAGATTGTAATTATTAAATAATATAGTAAAGTTGGACTAGGACCCCAGAAAGAGCGACACAACGGGACACCTACATCTTGTTACTCTGGGATTTAATGGATTTTTATTATTCATTTTGAGGTAGAGTTGTGTTAAAGTAACGAACACGTCTTATTGCTGTAGAAAACCTTTTCACTGACCTAATTTTGAAGAAATTAGTTTGTCTGAGAGCTACTGGCTGGTTCAAACAGCCACTGGGAAAAGGGATTGTAAGAGTAAAAGCAGTTTATGCGAGTGGCATTTCACAAACCTTCACACCGTGCCATCACTCAAGTCATTTTAAAGTGCAAAGAACAGCAATGAGAGGTAGCACTTATTAATAATAGGAGTAACATAATAAATCTGATAGATTGAATGTTTAATCCCAAATTAATTCAGATGATAACGCTTGCATGAACTCCTTTGAAATGTTAAAGATTTGAGTTGTTTTTACTTTTAATCAGCAAAACCCACTTTGGAAGTATGGCTGCTCATCAGTCTGGGCAAATCTAAAATATTTTCTCTTTCTTAAAACAACTCTTTAGTTTCACAGCAGTTCATGCAAACATCATGTATTCAAACGTTTACACGACTATATGGTTTTCATTATATAGTTATTCAGGTAGAAATATTCTAGTGCTGCTGTCTGATTTGATCCCAGTTTGCAGAAAGTGCTACAGCTAGCTGCTGCGCTGGCTAAAAGCCTGCAGATTTTTCTAAATACTGTGACATGCGACCTGTCCAAGGTGTACCCCTGCTGGAGGAAGACACCAGCTCCAAGTTGGTAAAAGAAAATGAATTTTACATAACTATGTATTGAGAAACCAACAACATTGCATAAGATTTTATTATGAGCCACCAAACATTTAGAAGATTAGGATGTTTTTAAGATGGCAGTAATCCACTTTCCTCACGGCTGGTTTTAAATCGAGCCGTGAGCTCGTCTGTCCTCAGGTATATTTTATTCTGAGGTCATTCATAGATCGTCTTGATCACAGGGCACCACATCAAAATGGACAAAATATTTCTTATCTACTTCTTGTATGGGTCGTGAGCGGCACAGTGGTGCAGTTGGTAGAGCTGTGAAGGTCGCCGGTACTCGGCCCAGGGTCATTCTGTGTGGGGTTTGCATGTTCTCTCCGTGCATGCGTGGGTTTTCTCCAGGTACTCCGGTTTCCACAGATCAAAAACGTGCATGTTAGGCTGATTGGCGACTCTAAATTGTCCCTAGGTGTGAGTGAGTATGAACGTTCCTGTGATGGACTCGAGACCTGTCCAGGGTGTCCCCCGCCTCGCACAGTGATGGCTGGACATGGGCACCAGTGACCCGTAAAAGGAAGAAGTGGGTAAAGATAATGGATCGTATTATGTGTAGCTCATATCCACTCTATTTCCCAGCAGGAAGTTACACCAGTGTTGCAGAACGTTTGGCACAAACATAAAAGTATCTGCCTAAATGTAAATTACTTGTCATGGTGTTAGGACTGTGTGTTCATGTAAGGGTTTTATGTTCCCACTTTCTTATTCAAGCTGACTCAACCAAATCTTCCTTTACAGGGAACTGTCTCGATTCATAGCCGCCGGCCGCCTGCACTGTAAAATTGATAAAGTTAACGAGATTGTGGAAACCAACAGGTAACACGTCCACATCTAAAAGCTTTTTATTCCTCTCTCTAATATTCACAAACACAAATAAAGTCCAAATTCTTATCTTGTTTCTTTTTGCAGACCTGATAGTAAAAACTGGCAGTACCAGGAAACCATCAAAAAGGGCGACTTGCTGCTCAACAGAGTCCAGAAGTTGTCAAGAGTCATCAACATGTAACCTCAGCAGCCATCTTTACTAGTGTGACTGGCATTTTTTCCTTCTTGCTAGAAACTGTTTGTTTGACAAAGTGACTCTTATATTGTGTATATAAATAAAACCTGTTTACCTACATCTCCACTTTTTTTTTTTTTTTTATGAAAGAGGCAGAGGCAGGATTTCATATAAATAGCAGTATAAATTATTTTATTTACACAAACTTGTTACAAAACAAATATACTATACAATCTTTTCTTTAAATATTAATTCTAACCTATGTTTTGTTCATGAATTACATAGCAGCCAATACATAAGTCCAGCTGAAAATGATTCTGATAATGTATACAGGAAAAAAAAAAAATCTATACACGCTTTTACATAGTATGAATGAATGTTTTTTTTTTGTTTTTGTTTTTTTTTTTTCTTCCCAGACTTTCGTTGTATTCTCCCTCACTTTCACATTCTAAGTCTACGCTGGAATAAAACGATGTTTCCACGAAGAGGAAACGGAGGATCTCAGTTGAATTTAGAGAAGACAACGAAAACTTACTACGTACAAATCTCAGTAAATCAGAGTAAACCACGCACTGTGGCCAACACATCTACTTCCTGTCTAAAGGAAAAAGTGTTCCATAAATCGATGACGAGTGCTCAGGTTTGACCACATTTAGGGTTCTCACAGGCAGATATTGGAACCTAAATACTTTGAACATTCAAGTAAAAGGTAAAACAACCCAAAGAATACTGTCCTCAAACAGTCAGGGCGAGACAAATTCAGGCACTTTCTTAATTTTGACATTTCTTTTAAAAGCTGTTGGACTCGTTCTTTCAAAGCTGCGATTCAAATTACTTGTTTGGCAATGATGATGCAAGCAGTTGGACTATTCAACGTGTTCCTCCTGCGTCGACTGAGTCCACTCAGGCTTCAGAGAAGGGAGAAACAAAGTGTTTTAATTATGAAATGTGTTTTAAGGTCTACACAGCGGATGACTCAAAAGTCCATAGAAACGGTTCCGAAGGCTTCAGGCCGTGACGTTTCTAAATTACCGGTACAGACTCACTGGGTCACATCGAGTCGCTTTTTCTGTGTTGAATCATAGGCAACATAAAATATCTTGTAAAAGCACATGTGAGTCAGACCTTGTTGAGTGAATAAAGGTTTCCTCTCTCATACAGACATGCTACAGTGGCAACACTTCTCCCCTCCACCTTAAAGGATCCTCCATTCACGAGATGCTTCGGCTCCTACATGTATTGCATTGTATAAACTTGGCAGTGAACCACTTCAAATAGTCCTGTTCCTTGAAGTTTCCTCTTTTTTTTTTTTTGTTGTAAATAAATAATTTTCAAAATTGTACCAAAAAATTTCGGCGTGGATGAAAAAGGCCTGTGCAAAAATACATACTTTACTATGTACAATTTGTTAACAAAATATGTATCCTCAAACAGGGAGAAGTTCAATACTTGTTTGATACGTAGGCTACGAGAACAAAAGGTGAATTAAAGATTCTTCCCTTAAAAAAGATTCCTCTACTCCTCCAACACTATTTGACATCAGTAGGGGCTTTCCATAAATCAACAAGTGTTGCCCAAAAGTTTAGAAATATCCCGTGAAGCCGTCACCATAAAGCTCACCCAGACTTATTCATAAAGCAAACTCCTGAATATGTTTAAGACTCCGTTCTGACAAAGGAACATCGATCCTGGCTACTCAACACGTGATGCGCCGACATTTGGGTAGTGGTTACACGCAAGGACAATCAAAGGACGAGCGACGTGCAAGTTTGTTCCAGTTAAGACGTACCATACCTGATTTCGTATCGGGGGAGTGTGGCGGGGGTGACAACGATACAGCTTGCAAAGACTTTCCTCCTGAAGCACCATCTCCGCTCCACGAGTGAGACTCCCTGCCCTTACATTAAAAAAAAAACGTAGTTGGCAAAGATGTGGCAGCTTTTGGCTTGCTTTGGGAGCAGTGCCTGCAGAGAAAGGTATTTAGTGCTGTTCACAGGGGAGGGGGGGGGGGGCTATTTGTGGCTCTCGTTTCTGCACAAAGACTCAGACAACCCTTCAGGACCAGACCACCTCTGACCAAATAACTCAATCGATGGGGCACATCAGGCGTCCTTTTCACATTTTCAAAGCACAACCACCTTCGACTACAAAGACCCTTCGTAGTACAGTGTAAAAAGATCATAAGAAATCATAAAAAGGTAACACTTGCATAATTATTCTGGATACTTAAACCAGATTATCCCAACGAGCTCGTCTTGGGCGACTGTGTTGTAACCCGAGGTTACGGGACGTGATCAAAGACTGACGAGGAGCGAAGTGACAAGGTGATTATGTTGTTTAAGGTGTTGCTGTTCTCAGTTTTGTTCCTCCTCCGGCTCTCCTCACAAGGCTTCTGAGATCAGGTGATGGGGGTGTAGTTAAATTAGGAACTCCAACACAATCTGACATGAGGAAGAAAAAAAAAACTTGGACACACACAACCACGCACTCGTACACAGAAGCGATCGTTTTGTTGTCTCGTGAGCTGCTCTGAATCATGACGGCTTGTTGCGTCAGCCCTTAACCTGTACCACAGGACGAGACCTGTGGCTGTTTTTAACTCTTTTCACCTCCAACCAGAAGGGAAGACCTCTCAGAAAACTGGGATAAATGGGGGGGGGGGATCATTGGCTTGATCATTCTACCCCCCCGAGACTCCATTCTGTGCCTCTACACACAAATCGCACACATAAACACACAGACACATGGCTTTGGGAGAAATTGCAAGGACCACATTTACTTCACTGGGCAGTCCAGATCATCTCCACCCTGAGGATTGTGGGAAGCTGAGAGTAATGTGTGTTTAATTACAGAAGGCCTCGTGCAGTCCAGAACAGCTTGCAGTCTGCTCCGGACTTTTCTCTGTCCGCCTGCCCATTTCAAACGCAGAGGTGGGAAGTTGCTGTCAGGGACGAGCTTTGGGCTGTGAGAAGAAGAAAAGAACAATCTGTTAAAATCATTTATGAATAAAATACATAAATCATAACTTCTGTAAAAAAATCTTGGCAATTTTATCACTTCATTCATGTCAACTTCAGGGAAAATTCACACGATTTACCAGACAAAATAATTTATATTTGGTTAAAAAATAAATACAGTAGTTCCTCGCTACTTCGCGGTTTGTTTATCGCGGTTTTTCAAAATAAGACTGGACATGACACACCAATTGGCTGATTGATGGATGAGCCACACGATTGGCATGAAGTTTTTATTTTAAATAAATTAATGTAAATTATTTAGCACCTGCTGCACCTTTGTGCAGCCCATACTGCAGGATAAACTTCCTCTGCAGCGGATCGACTGTTCTCCATGCAGAGTGGAGAAGTGGGCGTGGCCAAGAACGCTTGCAGGTGGCAAAGAGTAGCGGAGGCAGAGCTGAAATCATGACATGCTGTGCTCTTTTAGAGTGTTTAGAGTTGAGGAACATTCTTTAGAATATTTCAAGAGTGTGTGAAGGGTTTAAAATGCCTTAAATGGCTTAAAAGGCCCCATATATATATATATATATTATATTTGGTTAAAAAATAAATACAGTAGTTCCTCGCTACTTCGCGGTATATATATATAAACTACTACTTGTACTACTATTCCTACTTCATGGTTTTTCACTTATCGTGAGTCTTCAGGGAACGGATCGTATCCCCCGTGATAAACGAGGGACTACAGTAAACGTGTTTTAACATTTACAGTGAAAACCATAAAACTATAATTGCTAACATGATTAGATTTTTAAATTCTTGAGAAGTTAAATCTGATGTTTAAAAATGTGTATGTAATCGTCTCGCAGTTTATAATATTTGTGCATCTGTTTGTCTGAAAACAACAACAATTCTAAACTCAATTTTTAGACGTTATAAAATGTGATTTTGTTTAAATTTGATTTCAAACTACACTTATGTAGGAAAATGTTTTGCGTGCATGTCTTTTGAGTTTTCACAACAACCTTTAGATTAGATACTTTTTTGCAAAATTTGAAATTAGAGCAAATTAAAGCAGAGCAAAAGTGAATACTGTATATTGTTGGTTTAATGATTTTAGTTGGTTTACATTTACTCTCTGGCTCACAGTCCGGTAGATAAGAGCACAAAAATGCTCATTTAGAAAACGTGCCAAGTTGAGCAAACATTAGCTTTAATGAAACTACTTTTTATCTTTATAAACAAGAAAAAAAAACCAACCTGATGTAAATGGGAGTTGTTGGGTAGACCTGGCGTTCCTGGAAGGCTTCTCCCGTGCTTCCCATGAATGTTGTTGATTGCAGGTGACTTGGCCACTTTGGGTCTACCTGGTCCAGTTCCACCTGCTCCCCCTGCTCCTCCTCCGAGACCCCCACCTACACTGTTAATGCCACTGGAAGCTGAGGAGCTTTTGCGCTTCTTGCCCTCCAGGCGTCCATCTGAGGAGTGGTGGCTAAAGCTGGCGTGGTGGTCCGATGAGGACTGGTGGTGAACAAAAGGCCCCAGAGAAAGAGTCGAGTCACTGCTGTTCATTACCACGCTCATGCGCTTTATGGACTCTGCAGGACTGCCCGAGGGTGGACCTCGTGCTGGCGGACCAGAGGAGCCACCTGCTGAACCTCCAGAAGGTTCTCCCTTGAGACTGAGCGAGTTGGTCCGCACACTGGGGCCACAGCTAAGCCCCACACTGTGAACACCACTGTGAGAGAAGGATAATGAAGATGACGATGACAGTCCTAATGAGCTGTGGTAGGTGCTCCCTGAGCTGCCAACATTTGCACAGTTCTTCTTGAACGAGGAGGAATTGGAATTAGAAATGGAGGATTCAGAGGAGGCATGAGAGGAAGAAAGGATGGAGCTGTTCTTCCTCTTTTTACCCGAGCTAAAGCTAGCGGTGCTACTGTTTGCTCCAGTGCTTCCTCCACTGGCAGAGTTTGGGGTGACGGGGGTGGAGGAGCCAGAGGGCGTCTCTTTGGGCCTGAAGGATGAGGAGGACTTGGTGGTGTTGCTGCTAGAGGAACGAGACTTAAGCGTCCGGCCTGAGGAAAGGGAAGGAACCGAAGAAGATGAGGACAAGTGGGCTGAAGGCATCTGCGGCGACGAAGACACTTGTCGGGCCTGCGTGGTACCATAGGCCGGGTGCTCAGCCCCGCCCTGTAGGGAGCTGTGAGCATTTAAGGTGGTCCCATAGGAGAGTGCTGACTTGCCCTCATAAGGAGTTTGGGGCAAGGTGGCAGGGGGGCCCAGGAAGCCTGAAGAGGGGGTGCTACCATGGGAGTTTGTGCTTGTCCTATGGGTTGGTGCAACAGAAAAGGAATTATCTGAGGCCAAGGGAATTTTCCTGCAAGCAGAAAAAAAAAAGTTTTTAAAGCAAATTCATCAGTGGTCTCTTCGTCAACAACAGACTGCCCTATACTCTTCTCATAAGACCTATAAAATAACTTATAATTTATTTTCTTGTTGTATAATCAGTGTAATCCCGAGGAAATGGACAGACATACTTCCACATCTGAGAGTTCACATGCTTCTCCATCATTGTAGTTAGGGCGCATCGTACTCTGTTCCACCGCCTGTCAAAGGAGTAAAAACCTCTCCCGAATAGTCGACTTCCAAAGGTACAGTACTGGGAAGAGAAGGAATACTTGAATCAGAAAAACAACAACAATCTGTCAGAGCGATTAAAAAGTTGTGGACGACTTAAGACACGTACAGCTGCCGGTCGTGGGTGATAACCTGAATATAGACAGTCCAGTTTCTCTGCATTATCATCCCGCTCTTCATTCTCTCCCTCATCACTGGAGGGTCTGGAAACACCATCGGGGGTAGTTTGGGGATGGTGCAGCAACTCGTGGGCAGCTGCAGGATCTCCAGGAGAACCTCCTGCATTGCTGACGTTTGTTCTGATGGAAGATAACCGAAGCACGTTAACTGATTCACAGAACCACAGAAATTTATATAAATGCGTACAAAGTACGTAGAATCAGGTGGAACAAAAGGAAATGACTGAACAAACAAATGAGGCAAACTAACCGAGGAAGACCAGGACTCTGAAATTTGGACTTTCCAAGCGGCGAAGGCTTCGGGGTATCTTGGTGGGCTGGTCCGTTGACAGTGGTGGGCTGGGGGGAGGGGTGTGGGTCCCTGAGAGGGGGGTTTTGCTGAACAATGGATCGGTCCTTGTGTTCTTTCAGCAAAATGTCAAAGCGCTTTCTTCGTCCTGGCACCGCCCTTCGATCAATTACGGAATGTGTCTGTCGGAACGTCAAAAATGGAAAAGTTTAACTTTGATGAAGAGTAAAAACAAAAGATCAATGATGTCATAATTAGTATTGTGATCCATTACTGTGCAGCACAAAATAAAACTCCCAGTGGAAAAACATCTACTAATAATATTCCCATAAAAAAGGTTTGGTTGTATTTCTCCACAGGACTCCACCGCTCTATTCCCTCCCCCAAAATGACCATTTGTGTCGACTCTCGTCCTTACAGTTTTCAGACGCCATTTTTTTAAGAGAGAAGAACTTTAGCTCATCTCTTTTGATCCGGTGTCTGGCCCCACTGTTCTCCCTTTGACTCCGTTTACATCAGGGGATTTTATTGCTGACTTAATATCCGTCATGTGCTGAGACTGTTTAAAGGGTACTCGCTAATGTTCAAATAAACGACTTGTAACCGTTGGCAACGAAGCAAGACTGGAGATTTAGCCAATTTATTACAAATTATTTTGGTAGTGAATAATGCTTATATACTAGTTATTTTATCAAAGATGATAAACATACAAAATAATTCAAACAGATTGCACAAAAAATGACGTATTTTGACAACTATCACGACTTTAAGCAGTTTGTTATAGAATCATGTTATAATTTGTTTGCCCTGATTTCTTACAAACTGGTCGACTTCTGGCCCAGGTAAGTAAAAAAGCCTTCTGTTATTTTTCATGGATTTGCCAAATAAAGAAATACAGACTCGTCACTCTTCTATTCAGGACTGATATTCCAATAAATTTGTTAAGTAACAAGCAGAGCATACAAACAATTCCAAAAAGCACATTAGGCTTATTTTGCATCAGCTGTGAAGTACAAAGTGGCTGACAGTCTCATAGATGTTTAAACTTCTCATTAATTCTCTTTTTGCACCTTTTACACTCAGAGAATAACATCTCCTGCCACAGCGCTGCTTAATAAAAATAATAATAAAACTATACTTCAGACTCGGTGCCACACAGAGGCTGAGGAGTCCCAGGTGTATTTTATTGCTTTCGGCTCATGTCTGAGATGATCAAAAGCTTATCCAGACTCTTTAATAAAGCCGCAATATAATTTTATTTATCTGCATTTTAAGGTTATAATTATAAAAGTGCTACTTGTTTCATCCTTATCGTATAGTAGTATGGCTCAGGTGCAAATCAGAGTGGTTACCTTGCATGTTAGGGATCTTGTGCAGGGTTTCTGAGCTTTAGCAACCATAACACCACAGTGAATGTCTGGGTTGAACTCGCGCTCTACAGGCACAGGAGAGAGGAACATATGAGATTTAGAAAATTTATGTTTTGGGTCAGTTTCTTTGTTAGTTTTGTAACAAAGTACATAAAAACAATACAAGAAATATTTTGAATTCACACACATACAAAAAAAAACATCTGACACAGCAATGGGCTGTCAATACAAACAAAAACCAGTTTGCCTGACCTGACACTTTCTTGTTACAATGGCGTCTGCTACTGGGACTGCTGCTGCTATCCTGCTTCTTGTCCACGGGGAGGATCTTGCCATAAGGGATCTGACCTGAGGCCAGTAATGGAGGCTTTGGTATGGAGGGACAGTTAAGGCCTGGTTTAAGGGTTGGTGATGATATTGACGATGAGGAGGCTGCGGTGAGGGCAGTATTGAAGCTCACAGTGGTGTTAGAGGAGGATGCAGAGGAGGAGGTGGTGGTGGTGGTGACAGGGGCAAATGGAGTCTGCACCTGCTTAGCTGACGAGTCCCCCTTCGGCTGCACCTTCTCCACCTTAACAGCAGAGCTGGAAAAGAAGGTTACAGAGATGAAGAGGGCAGCAAGGAGCAAGCTGAGAGTTAGAAACACTGATCCGATGAGAAGCTTGTGGTAGGAGACAGATGTGGACGCATGGAAGGGGCTGATCGGACAAAACATCAACCTAATTTATCAAAGACACGATAATCAAACAAACACAGATATAAAACTTTGATCCTAAACACAGCTCCAGGTTGTAACAACCAGTTCTGATGATTATAATTCATAACAAACATATTGAATTTACAACAGCTTTGTCCATTATTACCACTGTAACAGAGAATTGGCATAAGATTAGTCCTCTAAAATACTTTACAGCAGCACTGATATAATGTTTCAACAATAAATACAATCTTTTCCCAACATAACAACTCTAATGTAACTGGATGGACAGAAAATGACTGATGATTCCTGCTTTGAAAATGATGCTGGTCGATGCACGTCGAGTGTTCCTTTAGTTCTTACATTACACAACTGTTGGACTTTTTAACAGTTTAGTGAAACAGCTTGGTCTGCAAAGGTTGGACACAAAAATCATTGAACAAGCAGTATGCTGATGTCCCCCGTCGGGGAGGGATTTGAACTGTTAATGTTTGTAGTTTTGGAGATGATTGTTTTTTCGGACTGGAAGAGAACAGGGAATGAAAGAAAACCTTAGGCAGCGCAGACCAGGTGCAATGGCAGACCCAGGTGGTGGTCTTTGCCATCATAGAATAATCTTTGACCATTGAACCCAGTTTTCGATAGTGACCTTTATACAGTCTAGACGCAGTCACACACAAAAATGAAAGTCAGTACCTCACTTCCTTTTAAACGTATGCTCACACAGAGGGAGGGTATTTCCAATCCCCCCTTTTGGCTCCACGATGGAGGATGAAAAATTAAAAATCTGGCATTTTTGTTTTTTCAGTGTTTCCTTTAACTATATATGGTTCATTTTGAAGAAGATGAAAACATTTCAATCTGAACTCCTCCTGATCCCACTTCATGCTTTATCAGAAATTCATGATTATAGTGCAAAGGGAGGTTCTGCACTATTTTCAAGAACTGAATCAATAGGTCAAAGGTCAAATGAAGCACAGGCAAAAATAAAAGTGCTTATTGACTAGAAATGTGAGAAGACAACCCGTTCAATGAAGTCTTCACCTGGAGTTATGATGATCGCTCGCATCAACTCTGTTCTCAGTTACGTTTTGCTCGTACAGGCACCAGTTCTGCTTCCTCCTGGTGTTTCACAAGTGTTGGAATAAAAAATGTTGTACTGTCGGCTTAGCTGTAAAATTTACTCACAGTTCAGCCAAAAACAGTCACAAAATACAGCATGAAGTCTGCTTTGATACACATGATCATAAAACACAGGCACCATCCAATGTCTCAGAGACTAAAGAATAAAACTTACGGTTTATCAGGCTGGGCCACTCTGGAAGGGGCGGGCGGTGGTCTTCGATGAATGCCTTGCGGTTTCTCTTTGGCTGATTTGGGAAATTTTGGATTGGAGGAGGATGATGAAGAGGATGATAAACTGGAGCCGGCAGTGGACGGTCGGTTAAGGATGCCTCCACTCGTCACTCCAGCCACAGTCCCCGAGCCGAGCCCAGACCCAAGCCCGCTGCCGGCACTTCGGTTTCTGCTCGACACAGAGAAGGGTGATATGGAGGCTGGCTTGCTGGTTGAACCGTGTCTTCTCTCTGCAGAGACAGAATAGCACAGGCGGACATTAAAAGACAGGAGTTGACAGTAAATCTGAATAAAACACTGTTAACAGGCGGGACTACGGTATAGAAGATTATGCTGCCATGGATCAAAAAAATAAAAGTTAAAAAAAGAAGACAAACGGGAACATTTATATCTTTTTCAGATAGTACTGAACAGGTTACCTCAACAACAAAAAAGCAGCATTAGTGATTCATGCCTGAGCAGCCAGAAATAGAACCAGCCAACAGGTCAAAAGCTTTATTTCCTGCCTGAGCATCTTACAACAGCTGCTGTGCAGACTGATAAAAAGCTGCGCCGCAGAAGGAAAGCTTATGACGACACTTTGGTATTGAAGAAAGGACTAAAATAGAAGAAATGAAAACATGCACATCACAGTATGACTTCAATAAAACTGACTGTGTTCAGATTGAAGGATTTCCAAAATGAACAAACACAGACACGAGTGTACTTCATAAAAGTAATAACTAAATTCTAAGAGACAAACAGAAACATTGACCTTAATATAGTTAGCTTTTACTTTAAGTAGAAAAAAAATCTGGGATTTTAAAACAAAGAGTAGATGAGTGTCCTGATACAACTGCCTTGAGATAATTAGCTGCAACAACAAATGAAGAAAAGAGAACAAACACAACATTTTCTTATAAACTGAAAAGCTACTTAAGTCTCTTTAAGCTTCAAGACAAACGTATAAAGACGCCAGTGTTCATGAGACAGACACACCGCTTATTGCTGTGATAATACACAGAGATAAAGAGATCGAGGTGTACGGTAACGCCTTCAGGAGAAAAAGCTCTCCATACAACAAATGTGGCTCTTGTTTTACCGTCTTTTCATTCACAATGAAAACATCAAGACTGAATGTACAGCGGAGTGAGTATTAGGCCACGCTAAGAAAAAAAAAACAATTACATTATGAACAAGAACAAAGTTGTAGTATTACGAGAATAAGTCGAAATAATACAAAAATAAAGCTGTCGTTTTATCAGAACTCCGACAAAAAAAAGCAGTCTTAGAACTGCAGCTGACGTCGGCAGTACAATAGCAGGGGGGTCAACACACTGTGGCATATGGATTCTTCTGATAAACTCAAGCTGCATGGCATTGTAATTAATGGCTGCACTGACAGATTTAGTCATCACATAATGTGGATGGAGGCATATTTCACAAACAGTGACACAAAAGTGATCGTGGACTACTTCATAAACACAGGGACTCTCATTGGAGGCTGTCCACAACAGGCGCGAGCCGACCCAGTACGTATTACAACTTTATTCTCATAATATTATGAATTTATTCTCGTAAATTACAACTTTATTCTCATAATATTATGAATTTATTCTCGTAATAATACAACTTTATTCTTGTAATATTTCGACTTTATTCTCGTAATATTTAGGGATGGGGCCGATCCGATACAGTATCAGCCTCCGATACCAGCATAATTTACGTATCTAATTTTTCCTATCTTTCCGATCCATGATTTATGTCTGTGTCAGACCTGCTCTGCAGGTTGGCTTCAAACTATGGAATGGATTTCCTGAACGGAGGCATGTTTCATGAAACCCAGAGTAAAAAGACCCGCCTCACATTTCATTGTTTGCAGCCAGCTAAACGTGAGTAAATATTCTTTTGAGGACTGAGCACTGAGCAGCACTTTTGCTAACGGCTAACCAACTTTTCATCGTAACTTGTCCGCTGTGTGGAAGTATTTTACACTAAACACCGCAAGACAGCAACGTGCGATGTCTGCAGAGCGGCTGTACCGAGAGGGGGAAGCTCGGCCGCGAACTTACATCGAACTTAATAAACGTTTGAAAAAGCACGAGGATTGTTTAGCCAAGCACCGTGGTAAAGTTAGTTTTACGTTGGACATTCAAGCTCCGTGGCTTCAGGGGTGTGTTTCTCTCGCTCAATCCGAAGCAGACAGTCTGATTTCAGTCAGCTGCGCTCAGTCTGCCCGTCTCGGAGGAGGAGCAGACTGAGCGCAGCTGACTGAAAACAGACTGTGCTTCGCAGCTTGATTGAATATTTGCAGCCAAGCTATAGTTTATATTTACCCTCCAGGAGATATTTATCAGCTCAAGATGAGAGTTCTGTGATGAAGTTAAATTCAAAGCAGTCTGCTCAGATAAATGGTCTTAAATTATTATTTTTATATATGAATGTTTTTGTTAACTTATTTTAATGTTTCTGTACAGTGCCCTGAAATGACTTCTGTTATGACTTGGCACTATATAAATAAACTGAATTGAATAGACAATCATGAAAAAAAGGAGTATGAACTGAAAAATAAAATTATATATGTATTAAAAAAGAAACAAAAACAGGTACATTATAAAGTGATGTAAAATACTAAAAACAGGAACATGTCTGTGTTGGTTTATATCATGAACGTAGCAGATGTTTGAAGCCATTTAATCACTTTAATATCCATTTTAAAGCTAGGAATAAAACAGTATGTTTTGTGTTAGCAGGATTTAATTCTAACTTTGAAACTTATCCAACATTAATACAACTTACCTCAAGTTGCCTTTTTGGACATGCATGCATATATTTGTACAAATTGTACTTGAGAGATTATTACAGCCTCATAAAATCAATTACGATTATGATATTGGAATATTATCGGACGATATCCAGATGTAGGTATTGGGATTGGATCGGAAGTTTAAAAAAAAGGTGGATTGGTGCATCCCTAGTAATATTAAGACTTTATTCTCGTAACATTTCAACTTTATTCTCATAATACTATGACTTTTTCCTCGTAATGTAATTTTTCTTTTTCTTAGTGTGGCCCTAATACTCCGTCGTATGAATGAGAACATAACCTCAGAATAAATTAACAGCTAATGACCATGCAATGAGAGGCAGGTTGAAACTTTTTTCAGGTAAGCTTTGAGATGCTTGTTGATTATACTAGAAGCTGAATGGACACCAATATTGAAGCATGCTCAAAAATCCTACTCTTGATTTTTCTGAAGAGTTTTGGTCCCAGAAATACACCTGTTTATCATTCAAACAGCTTCTCTTTACACAGCCATTAGCCCCACACTCGATACTTTCCTGTCCCCTTCCCTTCTTTCTTTCCCCTTTGTGTCCTGTCCTATTACAGTACCGGAATCGTCAACACATCAACAGCAGACCCAACTTGTATCAAAATCCCATGGCATGACTCACTACTTGGCTCACAAAACTCCAAAACCAAAAAAAAAAATGAAGGCAAACATCTGCTGCTATTGAACTACGACAGACATCAGGACCTGTGTAAGTAGTGGGAGGGCCAGACAAGACAAAAGTAGCTCATTATCTGTTTTCACACTATAAAATGATTAATGTAGATTGGTAGTAAGAAAATTACACACGAGCACAATGATTAAACCAAAGTATTGCCCAGCCTTGCTGGAACAACCTTTACAAAATAATAAGCTTGATAATCATAAAATATTAATGAAGCATGACCGACTTATATTATGAATTTAGGGTGCATACCCTAAACCACGTTTCTGTAGGTCTGCTGGACTGCTACTGTAAGGAGACAAGTCTTGGTTCAACAAGTTCATACAGTAAATTCATGCGTAAAACTGAACATAAGCTTGAAAAGATTCTGTGGTGAGTGTCACCCCTGCTGAGATCAGCCTCAGCCGAGAAGCACAAACACCTAACCGAAGACAGGCGGGCTCAAAGAGGCATGCTAACATCTTTGTGAGACTATCTCGATAGTACCAAGATTAGTGCTTCTGCCCTTGTTGTTAAAACCGCATGGGGTCTTCCCGTAATGACATCAGAGAGAAAAACATGGAGTAAAACGCAGCAAGAGACCAGCTGATCTGTATGGACATGTGTGATAGCCGGGCTGCACAGCTGCACTTTCATATATCACTTTGGTTTTACAGCTGAAACAATTATTTAAACAGAAAATGTAGCTGCAGCCACTAACAACTTAAAACATGTGTAAAATATATATATGTATAAAGCAGGCATTAAGATTCTGAATACCAAATGTAAGGAAATAGTTTTTCAGCTTTTTGAATTACTGCAAATGGAGAACCTTTGGGTCTTAGACTGCCAGAATGAGAAATTCTAACTCAGTGCTTGTAAATACACTCAGTTTAGGGAATACTAAATGTTGTACATCTGATAACACACTTCAGTCATGGTGATTAAATTATGAATCATCACAACACAATTGAAATAAATGAAAGCAATACTTAAATTACTGTAAAACCATCTCCACTCATTGTGAGATTCCCACTCTGTGAATCTGGTGTTGAGTCAGAATAACAGCATCATCATGACCACGCTGCCATCACCTGCTGTGATGATGTCAGTACCATTTTTTGTTACTGGCAGGGTATAGCCCTCCAGTGTTCATCAGCAACACGTCAATTAAAAATCCCCTGGCAGGTCTAAAAACTAACCTAGACGCTCCAGCACATAAATAAAAATCTGTTTAAAACGAGAGATGCTGTTTAACAATGTGGGAGGAGAACAGTGGATTTTATTGACACAGTTGAAGAAGGTTTTTTTCCAGCAGCAAAGTACTGCTATACCCCCCTCTGGTGGCTGACCTCGACAAATATAACTGCTGTCATATTTGAGAGACACTAAGAAGCATCTCGTTACAACTACAAAGACTGGAACTTTACACAGCGAAGAAATAAATATAGCTAAGAGAGCAAGACAGAGTAGGTGGCTCTTTTTTTCCACAATAAGAGTTCAGGTCCCATCAGCTGCGGGGACTCGATGTGAACAAAATCAACAGTTATGCAATCACTATTTTCACAGATTTTTATTTTTGTTTGGGATGGTAAGTCACGGACACAAGTTAAGCATCAAGAGGGGAGAATTCATGCAATGAAACATCTGTGCACGTATTAACACAGGCCCAAAAAAAATTCTGATCTGATTGGAGATGTATTTATTAAAACTGTACTTCACGGGGAGGACTTCAGGGAAGTTAAACACTAAAAAG